TCGTGCTGCCAGTAGTTGTAGAGGACGGCGCGGATCTCCACCTGCTCGTTCCTCACCACGGAGTAGGGCAGGCGCAGGTCGATGAAGAAGTTCTTCATCACCGTGATCTCATAGGGGTCAGCCACGCACAGGCCTGCGGGGTGGCCCCCCAGGGACACAGGGTTCAGGCTTAGGGGTTTTCTGGGCCCATCATGTCCCAGGGACATCCCCAAGGTTTTTGGAGTTCAAGTCCCATCAAGATCCCTCAAGTCTCATCAAGGCATCCCAAGGCTTAGGGGATCCTTCAAGTCCTATCGAGGCCTCCCAAGGCTTTTGGTGATCCCTCAAGTCCCACTGAGTCCCCCCAAAGCTCTCGGAGACCCTTCAAGTCCCCCCCAGGCTTTTGGAGACCCTTCAAGTCCCATTGAATCCTCCCAAGGATTGGGGGATCCCTCACACCCCAAGGGTGACCACCAAGCTTTGGAGGATCTCCCAGACTTTGGGGCATCTCTCCAGCACCACTCCAAGATTCCGGAGATCCCTCAAACCCCAGGGGAACCCATCGGGCTTTAGGGAAGCCTTCAAGCCTCAAGGACCACCCCGAAGGATCCTTTGACCCCCGGGGCCACCTTCCCAACTCCATCACCTACCGTTGGTCTGCGAGAGGCTGACGGCCAGGACCTCCCACGTGGTGATAGAGTCCTTCAGGTAGACAGGTAGAGTCTTGGCGGAGACCCTGTAGAGGATGGGGACAACCAAGGGAGGGTCATAGTTGGTCCCCAAGCCAGACCAGGAAGTTGCAGACGGCTCCTGAGCTCAACCAAGGCGTCACAGATGGTCTTGAGGTGGCACCAGCAGGAGGGAGATGGCCCTTGTCTGGACTCAGGCGGGTGTCCGCGGGGTGGGAGGGTGGTGGGACAGGGGCACGGGGCTCACCCCAGCTCGTTGGGCCGCTCAGTCAGCTGCTCCACCTGCCACAGCCAGCTCTCCGGGAAGAGGGTCCGCGAGGTGATGTCCTCCTCGGCCAGGAAGAGATCGTCCTCTTCGCCTGAGGGTGGCACCATCCCTCTCGACCGTTTCCTCAGGGGCCCAGCTCCTGGACGGAGCCAGCATCATCCCAGCACCGCCCACGTTTCGCTCGAGCTTCATCTCAGCGTCACCCAAGCGTCGCCCAACCTTCACTCAAGCTTCACCCAAGGTTTGCTCAGCTTTCACCCAAATTTCATTCCAGCTTCGCCCACCCTTCACCCCAGCTTCACTCAAGTGTCGCCGACCTTCACCCAAATGTCACCCAAACTTCACCCAAATGTCACCCAACCTTCACCCAAATGCCACCCAAGCTTCGCCCAAGGACAACACAAGCAACACTTGAGCTTCACCTGACCTCCACCTAGGCGTTGCCCAAGGTTGGCTCAAGAAATGCTTGAGCTTCACCCAAGCTTCACCCAACCCCACCGTGACCCTGCCAACACCCAGGACTTGCTTCGAGCCAGCTGGAGGTAGTCGTGCTGCTTCTTGTCGCGGACGCCCTTGATGAGCAGTCAAGGAAGGCGCGGACGCAAGCGTCTCCATCCTGGATGTAGGTGGCCCGTTGCTCGCAGCTGTGGCCCATGGGGTTCTCCTTCATGCCGTCCTCACAACACTTGCGCAGGGTCTTGTCCGAGTACTGGGCCGCTGTGGGCACCAAGGCGCTCAGATGGCACCTGGTCCGGAAGCTTCTGGCCTTGGGCCAGCAAGGACACAGGATGCTCCAGTGGCCCTCGAGGACGTGGGATGCTCTGGTATCACCATAGACTTGGGGTGCTCTGGTGTCCCTCAGGGATGTGGTAAAACCACGGAGTTGGGACATTTTGGTGTCCGTCAGGGACACGGCACACTAGTGTTGAATGGGACGTGGGATGTTGTGGTGTCCCTTGGGGACATGAGACATTCTGGTGTCCTTTGGGACATGAGATGTTCTGGGGTCCCTCAAGGACATGGGACGCTCTGGTATCACCATAGACTTGGGACACTCTGGTGATCCTCAAGGACGTGGGACACTGGTATTGAACGGGACATGAGATGTTCTGGTGTCCCTTGGGGACATGAGAGGATGTTCTCGTGTCCATCAGGGACAAGGGATGATGCTCTGGTGTCCCTCAGGGACATGAGATGATGCTCTGGTGTCCCTCGGGGACAAGAGATGATGCTCTGGTGTCCCTCGGGGACATGAGACCACCTGGAGTCCCCAAAACCAGTGTTCTTGGGGACATGGGACAGTTGTGGTGCCACCTACCCTTGGTGTTTTTGTCCTTTACGAGCAGCAGGGAGCGGCGCTTGCGTTTGGCCGGCTGGGGACACGCGACCTCTGG